CATATACTTATCTCTTCGATACTAAGCTGTTTACAAAAATCACTCAACATGGTCACAAATTCGACTCACGAGAATTACGGCTTAAAGCTGAGGTTAATGTATAACATTCGTCTACTCGGACAATAAGAAATACTATACTCTTTACTAAGCCTACTTTCCTTTCGTAATTTATCTAACTCAGATGCCTCTATCAACTTCGTTCCAATCGAATTACATGGCTTTCTTAATAACTCCACAACTCGAGTATGATCAGTCCTTTCGTCTCTAGTATTAATAAGAAAGGGTGTAGCCTTTTCTACATTGCTCTATCTTCTTGCATTATTTATTTTGCTTTCTAGTTAATACTGCCATAACTTGCTCATTCATGCCTTTTAAATCATTTGACGTAATATTAATTCTTGACAAAGCATCATCTCCTACGTTTTCTTTACCTTTTTATATACTCAATTTTGAAACTATATTCTGTATGGGTTTTGTGAAAGTGACTCAACTCAAAATTGCTAATTTTTGGGAAAGAGCGAAAATGTGTTCGTCGTATTAAACATTTTCTGTTCATTTTACAATAACTCTAAAACATGGTAACAAAAGTTATGAATTTCTGTTGAAATTTATTGTTTCACTAAATAGCTTTAGAAACATTATATAGTTTTTGCAAAAAAATATGATTTTCTCGTATAAAATAAAGTTTAGAAAAAAAATCGAAAAAATAGGTCACTTTAGTATTAGAAGTTTTTTATTTCTACTGACCTTTTTAGGTAAAGGTCTGTTCATTTCTAACTTTGTTTTAAAAAAATATGTTTTTCTAAAAATAAGTCAGTTTCATTTTTAAGATTTTGTTTATTTTTTCAAACAAGCTAAATATAACAGTAAAGTATGTGTAAATGTCATTTAATAAATCACTCCTTAGACTTAATAGAGATCAGTAATAATAATCACACTAAAAAATAGTATCAAAATCGTGTCATAAAGTAGGAAACCAAACGTTTACGTAAGTAATACTTAACGAAATAACGAAACATAATCAATATCAGTCTTCTATAACACTAATAAAATACATATTTATCCAAATCAACAATATTCCTATATTAGCACTAACTTTTCAGTTGAACATAGTGGTACTAGTACAGTCTTGTACATAGTTATAGTTCGGATGTATTACTTAATCAAATTTTAATTAAACTCTGCTTAACTCAGACAATCCAAATAATGAGACCTTCTGTTTTCACTGGTTTAGATAACGAATTCTTAAATTTAACGAAACGTAACCAAAATAAAAATAGTTATTTAAAGTATTTGAATCACATCAAAATCAGTATTAATAGCATAACTTATCTATCAGTTTACCACAGTAACAGTATTCTGGTTATAATTCAGTTGTACTTAATCAACTATTAAACTTTGCCTATTGCACTGATTCAGACTTAGCTTTTTGGTACAACATACTTCTTTAAAGTTTGTTACTTTAATATCTCATAATAGGTAATTGTCGTATGTGTCCATGTGCTATTATTATTTGAATTAAAGTTTCTTACAAAGTGTTGTAAAAACTAGCGTAAATACTAGGTATTAAATTTTTTCTGACTAAATCTTTGAGATCCCTTTTTTTATTTTCTTTTAACTCAAGTGCATGCTCATACAGCTGTTTAATTACAATTTCATTGAACCCCATCATTTTTTTACGTTTATTGCGCATGTTGATTTGAGAAAACATCTCATCGGAGTATGATGTTTTACAATAAAAGTGGAACATCTCCGCTTTGTCAAATTTCAGTACTTTAAGATCATTCCACACTATTGTTTCTTTATGGAAGTTTTCGTTGAAGTTGTATCCCCACTGTTCTTGAAGTAGTTTGAGATTTAAGAAGAATTCATAATTAACTTCTAGATCTGATTCTGGAAGGGTATCTTTAATGCTGTTGGCACTTGTAAGACACTGATATTCACTGTGAAATATTTGAGGGATCACTTTATCGGTACAAAGCTTCAGTAAGTCGTCAAGTTTGGCTTTCGAAATAGGCAACCGAGATTTATAACATGGTGGAACATTAATTCTAGACTTTGTTAGAACTTCTATTGAATATGAGTCTGCATTTTCGGTAATAGAGTTTTTTGCATGAATTACATTGTTATTGATCTTTTTAAATGTGACAATGCGCATTTTACTGATTTTGCCACTGAGATTACCCTTGAAATACTTTTCACTGATTGAATCCCATTTATAGAAATCTTGGAATTGTAGTGACTAGACAATGTAAGGTTCTGGATCTTGTCTCGCTGTACTAAAGATAGTATACCACTGCGAAGGTGCGTGAATGATAGTTTTTTTTAAATTTCTTTCTATAACAGCGTGGACAGAGTCTACTGGCATTTAAGGATGTCCTGTTAATAAAAAAATAACTGAATTATGTTAATGTTTTTGCATGCTTGCAAAGTTGAGTGTAACATTGCCATGATTATCCGATTCCTATTTTGGCCAGGGCGACAATCGCAGTATAACTACAATTTTTTTTACTGTGCCACGTTCATCCACAATATTAATGTATTTATTGATTATTGTTGCAATTTCATTGGCTCCTCTTTTACCATGACTTTCATCCCAATGAAAACAAAATACCATGCGTGTGCCGCTCTCATAGAAGCATAGGTTATACACAGCTAGTTTACGGCTATAAAAGCATGCTGTCACCGTATGGGGTATTTAATACTTTTTGTAGATCAAAACTGACACATAGCGTGCCAGGGTCATTTTTATGTATATTTTGATGAGCTTTAAATCTACAGTAGCTCTCATTTTTTTCCTTCTCATGCAGTTTAATTTCTTCTTGAATATTTGTGTTATCTTTACATTGTTCATGTTTAAGGCACTTCAGACATTTGTCCTTTTTGGGTACATGAAATCCAATATTAAACTTTTCATTAAATTTCGATCGAAAAGTACGCTCACTTACAATATCAATGCCTCTTTCTATATAACACTTTTTATACATTTGATACAAATATGATGGATTTTTAATATGAGTTGGTAAGTAAACACGACTGGAATCCTTACGACAGTAATGGGAGGGAACAGCTGGAAGACTCTTTATGTAATTATTCACTAACGCTATGGTCAATTCCTTTTTTTTTATTATGAGGCTCATGTCTACCACGATTATCTTCTTTAGATAATCCAATTTCAGAGTTTTGTATAGTATATTGAATAAATTTTACGCCGACATCCAAAGTAGCCGCTAAAAACTGAAGACAAACACATCTTTTGCCCTCAGCTTCTGTTATTGAGTACTTATAAGAATATGAACGTTTGTCAGAATTAGCTCTTTTTCGGTTTATAGCTGTTTTTTGTGTCATCGATACTAGCCAGTCTTTACGCCGTGTCGTTGATAGACTCCAAAAATAGTCAAATATACTTTTTCGTCTCTCGTTTGTTATAGTTTCACAACCATTGCCACATTTTTTGCCCACACACGGATTAGGTTTCATTTCTTTAGCAGCTACTTCAATGCCATCTTTTCTCACGTACGCTTGACCAGTTTATTTTAGGAATCTTTGTAACTTCTTTTTAGTCACATTCAAATCTACAAATATCGTTAAGAATATTATTAGGTATATCAGTTTGATTTATAAATTAAAATAAAATCCATTTCATTTCATTATGCCTAACTGTTAAATTCTTTTGCTGGCAATAATCCGTAACGCATTATAGTGTTTGTTGTCTTGAAGGTGAATTAAACCCGCGAACCTCTGAGTTGCAGTCATACGCGTTTCCACTGCGCCGTACGATCGTCAAATTGAAATCATTCAAGTTTTGGTACAAACAGTAATAACAATGTCATGTCACAACGCAACTCGCTTATTATCTACTTTGACACACACTTGAAATAGGAAGTAAGCACAACTGGACTGAATAACGTCGAACATGTACACACTATTACGGGTATATAATTAGTTTGTTTAAACATAACACAAATTTCTTATAACTTCAATACAAAATGAATTATTCTCGTATTATCTGTATAATATTATGTTTACACATCAAGGTCCTGAGCTCTGGCGCAGTGGTTTAGATTCGCCTGTAGAGTTTTGAGTTCCATTCTATTGATGTCCCACGATTTCTGTTACTTCCATTCGGTCCCCGCTCGGTTGGGACGCCGCCGATGTTACGGCGGTGGCTCTTCTCGGTATTCGTTTCTTGGGGGCCGAGCATTTTGGACCTCCCAAGCGATGGTTGGCACTCTTGTTGTGGGATGCGCACACCACACAGTGTGTCTTCTCCTTACATTCCACAGCGATGTGGTCGGGCTTGCCACACCTGTAGCACAGGCGACTGCGGCCTTCTTCCTTGCATGGATGGAGGCGGCGTGGGCAGAGGTCTTGCCGTCGTGTCCTTGTCTTTGGCCTTTTTGGCCTTGGCACCGTTGGCCGCCGCTCCAGCCGCCTGGCCTCTGACGCAGCCGTGGCCGGTGCTGGTGTTCTGACCGGTGGTGCCTGTGTCTTATCCGATGCCAGGGGAGGTCTAAGGCGCCTTTCAGGCATCAGGCGCCCCTCTATCCCCTCTATCCATCATGACCCCGATTTCCCGCATCAGGGACCCGCGAAATTCTTCCTCCGTTCGGTCCGTCCTCGTTGCCCTTGGGGATGAGAGTTTGTCCAGGTCCGCCCGTAGACGGGCCTGTCCGTCCCTCAACATCCCCAGCTCTTGTTGGAGGAGCGCGTTCTTGCGCTTCTCCTCCTCGAGCCGGGCTTGGAGGATTTCCGTTTCTTCTCCGCTGGTCCGCTGCAGGAGGACGTCTTTAGCTTCTCCCAACAACGCCCTCGACGTCTTCAGCGCCGGGACCCAGCCTCCTTTCAAATTCGTGGAGTTTGTGGCCACTTCCACAATAACCCCCAGGGCCCTCTCCATTTCTTTCGCTAGGGATGAGGCCGGCAGCGTCTTTACTGACGATATTGCGGCTTCGACTCGCCGCGCCGTCATCGCCGCCGTTTCCTCATCCCAGGCACGATCAGCCGTCCTCGCCCCTCCCTCTTTTTACGAGGGAGGATTTGGCACTGCCACCAGAGGAGCTCCCTTCTGACTCTCTCCTGAGTGGTCTCTTCCGGAACGGCTTGAAACTCGCCGTCGTCCCTCCAGCGAAGAACGCCGAGCGCGTCTCCTCCGCCTCCATTTCTGAGCCACTCGTGGTGTGCACTCTCGTAGTTACCGTGGTCTGCTCCTCCTGGTCCGAGCTGACCACCGTCGTCGTCCTGTCCAAATCACTAGCAAATCGTTGTCCATTATCCTTGCCATGTCCCGTGCCCACTGCACCTACTCTGCGAGGGTCTCTTGAAGAGAGACCACCAGGCCCGGCTGCTACCCTTCCCCCCGGACCGTGGTCCGTGAGGGACTGGTAACAGTCAGGCGCTCGGGGAGGTTTCCGCTTCGCAACCCTTCATATGTACACCTATTACAAGTATTCACAGCACTGTCTAAAAAGTTTTTAACAACAACACCTTAATCTAATTAAATTAAATTACATCTGCAAAAAAAAAAAAAACAACACTAATTAATAAAAACAACACATATGTAAATTGAAAGCGAAAAGTTACAATTTTAGAAATATTTTTTGCAATGTATGTCTGAATTTCGAATATGAATCGCAAAACATGTCCAAGTCTGTTAAAAAAAAATAATATTCGATATGCAATGCATTACACGGTAATTCAAACATAGTTTCTGTAATTTAAACATAGTTTTGTAATCTTTCTATATTGGTTTAAGGTTCCTAAATATAATTTAGGACACATATTTTTATTTATTAAATAATTTAACTTATAATGTTATGTTTTAAGTTGATTGCTACATAATTCGATAACGTTATAATGCTAATCATTTTATTTTCTTTTCTGTTTGGTATTGGAATAATACAAAATATTTCATGTCTCCAATTACCAATGGTATTCTTATCTCTATTATTAAATATTTTCTAATATTCTTGCTCTCTATTGAATGAATTTATAAATTTTATTTTTTTGTGTACATAGGTATATTGGGTATTGGCAAGGTCACGTCTTTATATAGTTGCTTGTTATGGTACTAAGCTGCCTTCCCAACTGCTTAGGTGTTATTAAATGTGGATTCATACAACCATGATATACAGGGTGACTGGTGAATTACTATCAATATTTAAGGAGAATACTCGGTACATGATTCTCATTCGAATTATGTAAAAAAAATAGTCACTTAATTTTTGACAAAATTTCCGTATAAATAAATAAAGTGTTGACACGTTCCAAGTGTTAAAGTGTGGATGCATGCGGCGGCGTGCTGATACAACACTACGTCACGACACGCGTATGTGTGAGTGTCAGTGTATACCTAGTCTGTAGGGTGCTCACACGATGCGTAATTAATTACATAACTTTTGGTTAACTTTACTTAGTAGTTTATTAATATTTATGTTACATTAATTTTTATTTTGTCATATATGATCGTCAAATATCACGTCCTCAAATATCGATAGTAATTCACCAGTCACCCTGTATATCTGTAGACTGTAATGGTGTCTAGTAACGTACTCTGTAATTTTTTTAGATTATTAAGCATGTTACTTCCGATGACAGCTCCTCCGAGCATTTCATTAATGAATTATTGTTATATTTTGAATTTCTGATTGAAAATTATTTGTCGATTGATCCAATAAATTAATGTGCTTATGAATCATTTTATACTTATTGCTTAAGAACGTTATTTTCAGCTTCAATTATAGAAGTTTGATTTTACCAGTATGATGCTAAGTTTAATTGGTTAGTACGAAGTAATGTGATATTTTTTTCATATTGTTTTGCGAATCTTGCGTCCAGTACCTGCTTCGAACAGGCTATTTGCAAGATAGGCGACTCCGTTAATAAAATATGCTGACCAAGTAACAGCTGATTGTAATATTCCAGTCGCACCCGTGACGTAACTGTAATAATAGTAACTCGCATCGTGTCTGAGTTCTTATTGTTTTGAAGGTTTGTTCGAGTGATTTTTTATTCTTATTAATGGCTGTTATTCCTTCCCAATAAGGTTCCATATTGTAATATAGAATAAGTTTCCAATCGTCCCGTATTATTTGCATATCTCCAAACGTATCGAACTATAAACCTTGATTGTCTCTAAATTTAGTTATATTTGAAGTCGAATGTGTGCTGGATATACTGATCATGAAGTAAAGCAAAGTCATGATTGCAGAACTGAGTCCACGACGAGTTGGTATTCTTGTTTGTTTTTTCGTCGATGAAGATTAAAATGAAGAGTGCTTTGTTGATTTTGATCATTAATTTGTCCTTGTAACAAATTAGGATTGTTTGATACCCATTTTCGTAAATTGAATCCACCAGACTTTAATAAATTAATTAAGTCCCTTTGCTGATGATAAAGTATATAGAATGACTGTTCAATGATTTTTGCTGCTTCTTGATAATTATCTCGTTCATCGTTCTCTAACTGTCGTAATGTCATCATAGCGAGAAAAAGAGCGGCTTTTAAGCCGTATGTAACTGTAGTTAATTGATACTCCTGCAACTTATCCTTCGGATCATCTCTCCACACAATTTTCTGTAAATTCTGGTCATCCTCGTGCATCCATATGTTTTAAACTTTTTTTCAATATCTTTCGTAAACGCGATTTTGTATTGTCGCCATTTTAATATTAATAATTGAAGATTTAGTTGTAAATTGAGTCCTTTATACATGAGATCGTTTAAACTCAATCCCATTGATGTAAGCGATGACGCATTAAATACGACTCTCAGTAATTTTGTTGTTGAATCGTCACGTAAAACACAATGGTGTGGTAAATAACATGATGGTTTCGTGTCACTTGACGGTTTCATGTGTCCCAACTCAATATATTCATTTATAAACAATTAATATTCCTTTGATAAATTTATTTTGTTTATTTTGCGTAGATATAAAGCTATGCGTCTTGTATTGTTGATTCGATGTCCTTTTTATATGATTTGTGTCAGGTTTATGTTTACTAAAATAAACTATTATTATTATTATTATTATTTATATATATTTGTCTTCTCAGCTTACACCGGTAGAATATAAGTAACCTGTACGGACTGGCGTCAAGTAGAGGTTACTGTTGGATTGATTTAAGTTTGTGGAAAGGTTTCATCTTATTCTAAAAATTTCCTAACTATTCTACATGTGTTCAGTATAGCGGCTTTTTGGTATTATATGTATATAAGAAGTGGGTTTCAGTCCAATAAGTTTAAGGCTATTATGTAAATTATTGGGGATAACGCCGGTCGTTGATAGGATTACGGGTACTACGTAGACTTTATTTTGCTTCCAGATGCTTAGGACAGGACTTCGTCTTTAAGATCGGTGTATTTATGAATTTTCTCCGCTATTGTTTTTTGCAAATTGTGAGTGTTAGGTACAGCTATGTCAATTAAGAATGTAATTTTATTGTGTTTGTCTGTTAGCACTATATCAGGCCGCGATTGTAATGGATGGTCCTATCAGTCAAAATTACGCGATCGTAATATAGTTTGTGTTTCGTTTTTAACACTGTGCTATTATTATTATTATGTGACATGGCTTCGGTAACATGATGACTCGGCCGAGCTTCCATTGGGTAGGGAAGTGGCCGGTCCTGAGGACTCCGTTGTATAATGAGTATAAAGAACTTTTTATTTCTCATAAGAATTTTACATTCACTTAAAATGAGATACAAGGAATATTAGCAAGATAACAATTTTTAACAATTTTAATCTCGTCACCGCTACTATGCCAAGAGCGGGGAGGTGACGGAGGGCTTCGTTTGTAATTCCATCAGGACCGGGGCCTTCCGGAGCTTAGTACGGCGAATCTGGAAAAAACTTGGCCGGGGGTGATGATTATGGGGTCTTCCGTGGGGGCTATCGCTTGCTCGAGGTATTCGTCTACGGTTTGTTCGACTTCCTCTGCGTGCTGGGTGTCTTCGGCTGGGTATGGTTTTTTTTTTTTTTTTTTTTTTATATACTCTGTACCTCTGACCTGGTCAGAGACCTTGTTTACTATATTTCTCATTCATTCCAGTTCTCTCGTTTACGATGGCCTGCCTTGCTTCATACTAATCTTTCTTGCATTCATCTCTTTTACCCTCAGGTTGTACCTTCTATCTATATTGTGTACCTAGCTTATTCTTAATACTATTCCTAGGATTAGGAGGGGGGTTCTAATTTTATTTACAGTTTCAGTTTCTATTTCTTTACATTTTGTTCCCTACGTTACAATATCTAAATTTTAATTTCCTTCTTAAATTTATTTACATTCCCATTATTGCCATTTTTAGTTTTCCTAATTTCCATTTCCTAATTTACATTTCCTAATTTACATTACCTAATCTACATTTCCTACTTTACATTTATTAATTTACATTATCCTAATTTACAATTTTGTTCTATCCTAATTTACAATTTTGTTTTATCCTAATTTACAATTTTGTTTTATCCTAATTTACATTTATTTTAACTTTAACATTTATCTGTGTTCCGGATGTTCTCCCGCCCTAGGTCTTCCATCTCGTGCCGTGCCTCTTCTCGGGTACGCGCCTTCCTGCGGTCTATCACGCGGCGGATTTGGTGCTTCTGGTGAGTGTTCTTTTATTACCATCCATTCTTATTCACTAAGTATATCAGGTTTTTGTTCCACCTTTTCTGAGCTCCTCCTCCTAGCCCCGACCGAATCGCACTGGTTCCGTTCTGTCCAAGTTTTGGGGTTGGGTCTGCCCTTTTAAATTGGGGAACCTTTACCATTAAAGATTGCCAATTTCTGGTGGTATTTTGTAGCAGTTTGGTAGTTTCCTTTCTTTGTCTTTGTCCTAACTCCATTTTCCTTGGCTTGAACCCAGTGCGACTCTTTCCGGAGTTCCTCGCCAGGTGACGCTTGCTACTGCTGCGTATGCACCGAAAGTCCTCTTGGACGCCCTTAGGAGTACGCTATAACGGCTCTTGCTAACTTGTCCCATTTTTGCCTGACTGGGCATTCCGCGTCGAAAGCATTATGCCCAGTCTCTTCCAACTTGGCAGCCAGGCAATTGCAGCATTTGGGAGCCGATCCCGCGCTGAACCAAGGGCAGTCCTTTTTCTGGTGATTGCCTGCACAATGGCTGCAAACCTCATTTTTCTCATTGCACAGCCGTCTCGTATGACCGTAGCCTAAGCATTGGGAGCATTGGACCAGTGGGGATTGGTCCGATACACATATCCTTTGCAGGTCTATGTGTATCTTCCCTCTCTCCACCAGTCGCTTCCACAATGTCGGGGAGACTTTTACCACGATGTGATTCACATGAGGATTTCTTGTTTTCTTCCGAAACTTAATTTCCATCTCCTCTTCTTCCCCTCCTAGTCCTTGGAAAACATCTTTATTTTGGTTTCTTATCGCTTCTAATACTTCCTCATCGGAGAGCATGGAGACTACGTGCTTGAGGATCACCAGGGGTTTTTTATTCTTTACCTCCTCAGCTTTTAGGTGGCCACCGGATTTATCAATCCTGTTCTGAACTTCCTTTATGTCATCCTCGGACCTACATCCGATGATGACTTTGGCATCTCGGGCTTTCCTCACCCTGTCTATTTTTACGCCACCTTCTTTTGCATTAACTACTTTCCTAACTTTGTTAAGGACATCCTCTCCGGTATCCATGACCTCTTTGGAGGTAACCACAATCGAGTGCAGCGTGGTTTTTTCCGGTGAAATCCCTCTTTTATGTCCAGCCGCTACTCCCGCGTATGTGGTCCCCTCCAGTGTCCTCCGATGTCCTTCTATTTCATCTTTTAGATCTTCCATTTTACTATTTGTTTCTTTTAGCATCTTCATGTGCTCTTCTATTTTCTCAAATAGTTCTCTGTTTGCTCCGTCGGATGGGGGTTGAGGGCTAGGTGGGGACGGGGGGTGTAAAGGGCCCCCTTCGTCCATTTCGTGGTTTTCTTCTTGTAACAATCCTATCTCTAGGTTAAGGCTGAGGATTATTTCATACAAGCCTTCGATGCCCCGCATTACTCCCTCCTTTATTTCCGTTTTCAGGTTTCGTGAGGCAGCCAGGTTTTCCATAGCAGTGTCGTAGAAAAATTTTGCTTTAGCTACAACACTGTTTTGGTCGTCGTCGATCATTTGTGATGGTGCCGCTGGTTCTGCCTTCCTGACCGCCTCTTTTGGTCCGGTTTTTGGGGGCAACGCTGGTTCTGGTCGTACTCCACCCCGACTTCCCGAGCTGCTCGCCGCTGATGGTTTCCCTATCTTCTGGCTGCTATCCTTCGGGACAATCTTTTTTGGTGGGGGGGAGTGTTTCAGCACCATGGTCAGAGGTTGCGTCCGATTTAAAACTAAAATTACTTATTCTAAGTTTATATAACACTATATATATTACAATTGCTTATTAACTATACCTTGTATAGGAGGTCTGGTCAATGTCTAGTCAAACGCAGTATGTCCTGGGAGGTGTAGAGGACTCCCAGGTGTCTAAAACTATATCAGTCAATTCCTATTCTAGAGTTATATAAAACTATATATATGTACCACAATTACTTATTATCTATACCTTGTATAGGAGGTCTAGTCAGTATCTTTCGTCAATCACAGTATATCCTGGGAGGTGTAAAGGACTCCCAGGTGTCTAAATCTATCTTAATCAGTATATTTCTATGTCAGTAACAGTAAGTTAATAAAATTTTGTCGCAAATCACGTCAGGTCAAAGCTTATTGCAGCTTATCCGTTAAGCAGCTCGAGCCCGTCAAGTTGAGCCCCAACACGGGGGGTCTAGGTCCAGGATCTTAGGAGTTATGAGGTGGGGAAATTTAGGAGGAATGGGAAGGAGAATCGGTTGGGCCCAGTCGTTAGGGCACCTCGTGCCCTTTCTAATGAGCCCAAACACGAGGGTGTTAGGATAAGGGGTAGGGAATGGGGAAGGTTTGGGGATTTCTAGCGCGATTTTATAATTTTATTTTTTATTTTGTCGATGATATACTAGTTTTGGCTAAGAAAATCGACGCCAGATGGCGCTGTCACTAAATTTCAATATTAGAATTATTGTCTTCCAAAATGGTCCGCCAGATGGCGCTGTGCTAAAAAGTTTAAAATTAATTTCAGTACGGCTACTGTCCACTAGGTGGCGCTATGGCTAAAGATTTTTATTTTAAAGCTATAGTTCCGTTATCTATGGTAGATGGCAATGTGGCTAATTGTAAATATTAATTTTTGTGGTTGAAGTAGTGTCCGCCAGTTAGCGCTGAGATTAAATTTTGACTATTAGATTTTCCAAGTTTATTGAAGAGTTGTTTGGTGGCGCTGTAGTAGGAGTTATTATAATTTTTGTAGTTCCAACCGGCTGGGTATGGTTGGAACTGGGTCTCTCCAGGTGGTCAGCGAAGATCTCGGCTCGGTCCGCTGCGCGGTAACGTGGGGTGCCGTCACTCGCTAGCAGGGGCCGGATCGGTTCTGACTTCCTGGATTCTTGGCGGCAAATGCGGTGGATACCCGTCCAGTCTTCTCGAGCTCGCTCGATGGTCTTGTACCAGGAGTCCACAGCGTGGTCCTCCAACACAGCTGAGACTCTCTCCGCCAGAGCATTGAGCTGGGACTTGATGGTCGGGCATCGGGTGCGCTGGTATAGTCTACGCAGCCTCCTTTTGTCTTCGATCATATCTCGTATCCCGGCAGGTAACTGCGGTCGTTTCCGGTGTGATGTGGTGCTTAGCCGCGAGGCCTCGAGTGCCCGGGTGATCGACTCGGTAAGCTCGAGGGCGAGGCGGTCCACATCGTCGGGGCTGTCCACTTGAAAAGACCGCAAGTTCTTCGACAGGTGGTCCGCGAAGATATGCCAGTCTTATCTATGACGCGGGGACGGGATTTCCCTCCGGATCGGCGCCAGATCAATGGTGACCAGAACCGGTTGGTGATCCGACATCATGTGGTCGTCTAGGACGTCAATCGACGGGTCTGTACTCAGGCCCTGCACTAAAGTGAGGTCGATGACGTCGGGCGCGGCGGCTATGTTTGTGACTCTGCTGCCGTGTTTATTTATTATTTTTCAAGTTCACTGTTTGTGACTTTACAAAAATACAATCCAGCCATACTAAATACGAGTATAACTGAAATGTAGCTTGCGCACCGAATACGAGACGCAAAGAGGTCTTAGCTTTTATTTCTATACATAAATAACATGATCTCTATATAATTAACATGATCTCTATATAATTAACATGATCTCTATATAATTAACATGATCTCTATATAATTAACATGATCTCTACATAACTATAAGTTATTTTTTTAACTTGTCGCCGACAATAATTGTACTTTTGTAATTTTCCCATTCTCGTTCCGTAGACGAATCAAGTTTTGAAACAATTAAATATGTATGTTCTTGAAAATATTGTCAATTAATTTACGTATTTGAACCGGTGACTCCTTATATACCGCCACAGTAGAAAACAACGCTTTACATAATTTTGTACGAGCAAACGATTATTGTTATGTCGGTTTTCTAATATATCCCATGCTTTAATGTAATTTTCAAACGTAAACGTAAATAAAGTTGATTCTGTTTTTCTATTGCCAATGTCATTCTTATAAATGGAGTTAAATATTTTCTCTATTATCTTGTGAGGGCCTTTTTTTTATTCATCTTCGTCGTTCGTCACTGTCTCCTATATCGAACTCTTGCATTTTCACACGTAAACTCCAATGATTTAATTACCATAAGTGCGTTACCTGTGAGAGAAGACCGCAAGTAATGGAACTTTTGTACGTTATCTATGTCTTCCGAATTATGAATCAGGGATAAATAGGTGTCGCGAAACTCAAGCCACTGATCATAGGAACCGTCAAAGGACGGCAAGGAAATTGTTGGTAGTTTTATCATTATTTTTACGAGAATTATTAGTAACGTTACTATTTTCGGCTAGGATACACTGAGACTTAGTTATATATGCATAATAATGGTTCTCGAAGGTTTCCCGCTCAATTAATTCCTTTTCAATTTGAGAATCTACGACATTAAAGTCAATTTCATTCTGAATTTCAGAAAATTTATCCAACAATGACTCGGCTTTTTGCAACCGTTCTTGCAACTCAGTTTTAATTACGTCAGTTATAAATACGTTTTCTATCGACTCAACATATTTGAAAAATAAAGTAAATCTACCTTTTATATCCTGCTTTTCTTGTTTAAGTCCCTCAACGTATCTACATGCGTCATTATTATCTGTTTGTGGAAGCCAAAGGGAAGAATTTATAGTTTTCTAATGATGTGGGTAAGCGACGTACACTGCGCATGAAATAATCATTTACGCCCGGAATTAACACACTATTACCACAAAATAAGCACTGGATAGAGGTAAGGAAGGATAAAAGATGGATGATTGGCTGACTTGGCTGTATTCTGTTGGCCCCTACGGATCCTTAATGCTGGTTTCATGAGTGCGTTTTATGCTGGTCGCGCGATTCTTTGTTTCATCCCGCTCGAAGGACCAATGTTTGTGATGTTGATGATGGTTTGAAATGAATACTTCTTTGATAGCCTTTAGATAATTTTAATGATGACCTTTTACAATTTTGGTAATGAGTTAGAATGTGTTCATGATTTTTAGGGCGATGATTCGCATGCCCTCCGAAAAATATTTAGTAGGACACCCTCTGGATTACACAATATATAGTTTGTAATTAAAAATAGACACAGTAGAATCCGTTTATTATGACATCAAAAGGAATTGACAAACACGCCATAATAAGCGGACGTCATACAAAGCGTTTTGTGATATGAAAAACCGCACTTTCCTCAAATTAATTTGTGTACCTCACTAAAATGTTCTGTTGAATAACTGTTATTAATAATTTTACTGTGTCAGCGATTATTTTAAATGTTGTTGAGTCCAAAGAGAGCATCTACACGCATGTTTTTTACAACTCAGCTTCGAAACTTAATCCTCATCCCAAAACATTAACTAAAGTGGGCTGCTTTCTCTTTTTACGGAGAACTGAGTCTCGGACTCTGTAGATGCTAGATATTCTGTCATTTCTTTTGTACTTGTACTTGGCACCACCTGGAAATAAGTAATAGACAGTAATTAGAAAGAAAACTCAACAAAAATTAAACTTATACTTATATAACCTAAAAAAAAAAGTATTGAATTGAAATATTGATATACTTATAAGGAATATTATCAAGGGCACTCAAAGCAAACCACAATTTGTTTCTCTGAAAATACAAAGATTTATTTTGCTAGACACGCTTTTACAAAATTATAACAATTATCGTTTAATTATGACAATTACACTTTACCTGAAAATACAATGAAACTACATTAAAGTCCACTAATATCGCCTCCTCAATTATTTTATCTTATTTTATCTCTCTACACCTTTTAATAATCATAAAGTGCACAGAACTTAAACATAATTCGCCATTAGTGAATAGTGACGCGTCTCTAGTCGACAATTAAAATGTAATGAAATGTCATTTCATTACATCTCCCCCCCTAAGATCGAGAATTCTATCTATTATAATCTATACTGCGTACCTACAAACTATCTTCATATTCGTTTTCTTCTATTATATCTCCTACTGTGACATGTTGTAATTTTGATACATGGAATAAAGTTGATTCTGTTTTTCTATTGCCAATGTCAATCTTATAAATGGAGTTTGATATTTTCTCTATTATTTTGAAAGGGCCTATTTTTAGTTCGTCGTTCGTCACTGTCTCCTATGTCGTAGTCTTCCATTTTCCTATTTTTATCAAAAAAATTCTTGTTGTTTCTCTAATGCTAATTGTCTATCAGCAATCCACTTGTCTTCCTTTACTATTTTTTTAATGTCAGTTGGTAAAATACTGACATTTGTACCATCCAGTAAATTATATTTCTGTATATATTCTCTTCTCCTTTTCTACTTTCTTCTTTTGTTTGTCCTTCCGGGCTACGCTTCTTTGTGTCGGACCACGTGGTTCTGGGGGGCGTTCTTCAAACTCACGCGCCTCTGCCCAATCTGTCTTAGCTGCCCTCTGCTGCTGGAATTCATATGCTCGCCTCTGGCTCTTTGTACCGGTATTGGGTCTTCGGTTTCGATTATCGAATCCGCTAGCGGGCTTTCCACGCTGGATCGGATTGATACGTCTACCATTGTAGGAATCGGACATCCTGTCTGAGATATTTCTCAATTAATAAAGTTTTCTTGTCATAAAAACGACAAGAAAATCACCAACCCGTCTTGAGCAAGCGTGGTGATTAATGCTCAAAAAACCTTCTCCATGTGAGAAGAGGCTATGCTCAGCAGTGGGCGTTGATAGGCTGATGACGATATATTCTCTTGCCACAGTTGTCCATTTTTTCTTATTATTTTTCTCATTCATTTTCCATCTTATTTTATTTACTATTGTTTGGTTTAATCGTTCGTTCAGCCTTTTCGAGAGTTTAAATTCATTTGAATTGATTCCTGGATATTGATCTGTCATAAATATTCCAATCTTATCTGTTTCTAGTACATTCTTTGTTAATTTTATAAAGTCACTTCACACTTGCATTCTGTGTTTTTGAAGTCGCAATAAAAGCAAATCTTGTGTAGTGATCCACTAAAAGGTGTGAGTATTTTATATATATAAGGAATATTATCAAGGGCACTCAAAGCAAACCACAATATGTTTCTCTGAAAATACAAAGATTTATTTTACCAGACACGCTTTTACAATATTATAACAATTATCGTTTAATTATGACAATTACACTTTATCATTTTATAGTAATAAAGCTAATAAACTAAAATCGAAATATCAAGAACAAAAAAATTAATACATTCAATAATTTATTCGATGACATATTATCATATCTTCTATATATATAAAAATGGATTGCTGTTCCTTAGTCTCGCTAAAACTCGAGAACAGCTGAACGGATTTATCTTATCTTAGTCTTGGAATGTTTGTGGAGGTTCAGGGAAGGTATAAAAGGTGAGAAAAATTGGAATAATTGCCGGGAAAACCCTAAAAACAACCCTTTTCTATTTCCCATACAAACGCTTTTTTTGACATTAGATTTGACAACTAACTAATATGTCAATCATTCTGTTTGATTGAAACAGGAAAACCTGATTATTTATGGCCTTTAAGACGGAATAGAGTTCGTCCGGTCAGCTATACCTACATACATTACTCTTGACCAAACTAACGCGGACGAAGTCGCGGGCAAAAACTAGTTTGTATATAAATATTGTATATACCTACTGTCTGGCCGCTATGTATTACACTGCTGCAAAAATATACGATAATTGACATTGTTGTGTATTAACGAGGAAAGCATATTGTACTAGAAAGTCTGTCATTCCTAAGGTGACCATTTATTTTTTGACTCAAAACGGGACATTGTTTTATTTAGGTTAAATCAAAAGTAGTAAATGAAACAAACAACGCTTTTTAAAGTTATTTATTCAGAAAATGTTAGTTGGCTTAAGAGAGAGTTACGATTCAGAAAGGTACTGTTTAGAAAGGCAAAATGTTTATTTATGTTTATAGGTATTTATCAGAAGAACAAATTTGTTTTAATATAGCTGGTGACGATTTCAAGTAAGAATGAAACTCTTGACACGTTTTTTTTATATTCACCTTAATTATCAACATCGCCCTTAGAACTGAAATTTGTAACTGGGTTTTCTCGGATGTCCACAATTTATTCATAATAGAAAATACCCTTTCTACGGGAGCATTTGTAGCAGGCAAACATAAAATATATTCAATTATAATAGAAAAGTTTTCATGCTGAAAATTATGGAATGACTCATTCCTCATATTTTCCGCC